GCAGAGAACTTGTTGAGGAAGTTGGGATTGGAATGAGCCTCAGCAGATGGGTAAGGTTTGAATAGGAGGAGAAGAGAGGACATTTCAGGGGAAAAGAAACAACACAGAGAGACAGATACAGGTATAAGATATGGTAATAAGCCAAAATGTATTCTAAGAATTATAAATGCATGAAATCATCATCAAAGTTTCCTTAGTGATTAACTGCTTATATTTGGCCAGTGCATAAGCTGTGAAATTTTTCTTTAACTCAAACACTAAATTACGATGTCCTCAGGTTATCATAAACCCCATTTGACTTCATGCCTCTACTCTCTCAGGGCTGGCGCTGTGACAACTGCCGCAGACCTGGGGGTGAACCCAGTCCCGAAGGCACTACTGGTCAGTCCTACAACCAGTATTCTCAGAGATACCATCAAAGAACAAACACTGTAAGTGCACTGGCGCCACGCGTGTGTTCCCTCATACTAGACAGTCCTTTCTACAGGTATCTTCCTTCAGAATGAACCAAATATTTTAATTTTTTAAAAAAACTCATAAATGACTTAAGTGAAACACTGTATTCCATAATACAGTTTAAGTTATCATTTATTTAACTCTTGAACATCTCCTATTGCCCAGTATGCTGCTAGGTTCTTGAAACTAGGAAGAAATATTATCCTATTTATAAGCAGCTGTCATGAGTCCCCACCTCCCCGCATTTTTTTTTTCTGTACACTTTACAGTATTTGCCACTAATTTTTTTTTCCTTCTTTTTTAACAGAATGTTAATTGCCCAATTGAGTGCTTCATGCCTTTAGATGTACAGGCTGACAGAGATGATTCCCGAGAGTAAATCTTTCCAACCCAGAGGAACAAGCGTGTCTCTCTGCCAAGATCCATCTAAACTGGAGTGATGTTAGCAGACCCATCTTAGAGTTCTTGTTTCTTTCTTAAGCCCTTTGCTCTGGAGGAAGTGCTCCAGCTTCAGCTCAACTCACAGCTTCTCCAAGCATCACCCTGGGAGTGTCCTGAGAGTTTTCTCGTAAATGAGGGCTGCACATTGCCTGTTCTGCTTCAGAGTATTCAATACCGCTCAGTATTTTAAATGAAGTGATTCTAACTTGTGATTTGGTGTGGGATCAATAGGAAAGCATATGCAGCCAACCAAGATGCAACATGTATTGAAATGATATGACCAAAATTTTAAGTAGGAAAGTCACCCAAACACTTCTGCTTTCACTTAAGTGTCTGGCCCGCGATACTGTAGGAACAAGCATGACCTTGTTACTGTGATATTTTAAATATCCACAGTACTCACTTTTTCCAAATGATCCTAGTAATTGCCTAGAAATCTTTCTCTTACCTGTTATTTATCAATTTTTCCCAGTATTTTTATACGGAAAAAATTGTATTGAAAACACTTAGTATGCAGTTGATAAGAGGAATTTGGTATAACTATGGTTGGTGATTATTTTTTATACTGTATGTGCCAAAGCTTTACTACTGTGGAAAGACAACTGTTTTAATAAAAGATTTACATTCCACAACGTGAAGTTCATCTATTTGACATAAGACACTTTGCGGGGAAATAATTCTTGTCAATGTTCTTTTTCAATTCAGCATACATTTGAAAATCTATGATGTGCAAGTCTCTCTAAATGTTGATTTCAGTACAAGATTTTCTAAGTCAGTTGCTACAAAAACGGATTCGTTTTTGTCACTTCCATCTCTGCACTAATGGAGACAGCCTTATACTTTCTGGTTTAATAAGTTTAAGTGAACCCAAATATTTATTAAAATTGCTAGTTTGGGCCGGGCGCGGTGGCTCAAGCCTGTAATCCCAGCACTTTGGGAGGCCGAGACGGGCGGATCACGAGGTCAGGAGATCGAGACCATCCTGGCTAACCCGGTGAAACCCCGTCTCTAGTAAAAAAATACAAAAAAATAGCCGGGCGAGGTGGCAAGCGTCTGTAGTCCCAGCTACTCGGGAGGCTGAGGCAGGAGAATGGCGTGAACCCGGGAGGCGGAGCTTGCAGTGAGCCGAGATCCGGCCACTGCACTCCAGGCTGGGCGACAGAGCGAGACTCCGTCTCAAAAAAAAAAAAAAAAAAAAATGCTAGTTTGCTCTTCAGAAGTATAATCGAAATAATCTTTAGTTACTCTTTTCTAACCATTATAATTCTTTCCTTCCTCCACCTTTCCTTCCTTTACTGAATAAACCTCTGTTCAAAGAGATTGCCTGCAAGGAAAATAAAAATGACTTATATATTAAAAGTATTTGAATAGTATAATATAGAGTTTTATCTTAGGGAAACCCCATAGTATGATAACCCCAATCTAACATGTCTTACTTTGGATCAGCTGACACTTTTGCATGGCTTGATAAACTCCCAGCCAAACAGTTTGTTTACTCCTGATCTGTAAAGGTCATTTCTTTTTCAATTTAACATTGAGGAAACAAACTTTGGGATTAAATTTAACATTCAGGCCAGGCGCAGTGGCTCACACCTGTAATCCCAGCACTTTGGGAGGCTGAGGCAGGTGCATCACCTGAGGTCAGGAGTTTGAGAACAGCCTGGCCAACATGGTGAAACTCAGTCTCTATTTAAAATACAAATATTGCCAGGCGTGGTGGTGGGTGCCTTTGGTCCCAGCTACTCGGGAGGCTGAGGTAGGAGAATGGCTTGAACCCAGGAGGCGGAAGTTGCAGTGAGCCGAGATTGTGCCATTGAACTCCAGCATGGGGGACAGAGCAAGACTCCATGTCAAAAAACACAAATAAATAAATAAATAAATAAATAAATAAACAAATGTGACATTCAGAATAGCAAATAGTGCCACTGCAAATAGTTAATTGTTAATTAGTAAAAAATTAGTAGTTCATAATAAACAAGACATGCAAA